CGTGAGAAAGGTCATGGCGGGCTCGAGCTCGTCTGCTTTTCAGAGTGGCATCGGCCACGAGGTGTCGTCTGAAGTATACTGTGTTCTTCGATGGCACAGCTGGCTGTGTGGCGAGACGAAAAAGTCGAGGGCGAAGCTGAATGACGAAAACAAGGGCATTCCCGTAACCGGCTCATCCGTCCAAGCGCTCGTCTCTTTTTCCCACTTCAAGTTGTCATCCAGGACATCCAGGCGCAGCCCCCCCCCCCTTCCTAGTGCTTCACGCGTGCCTCATCCTGGGGGGAAGAGTGCCCAGAAGGTCGGCGTGAGACAAGAGTCGTTGATTCAACAGAATCCAGGTTGCCGGCCAATGGGCGAGGTGCAATGTGCTCGATGTGGTGGGTTGGGGCCAGGGGATTTGCTCCGACTCCGTTGGAGACGGACCAAGTTCTGCCTCGCTCTCCGTCGGCGAGGCACGTGACCGTACACGTAGCTGGGCCTGCCTTAGGTAAGGCGGCAGGACCTGCCTGAGGTAAGGTAGCAGGACCTGCCTGAGGTAAGGTGGCAGGACCTAGGACGCTCCTGCCTTAGGTAATAAAAATGTAGATTCTATGAATTTTTTGATGATTAAGATATGATTAAGATATAAATAAGGTGGCAGGACCTGCCTGAGGTAAGGTAGCAGGACCTGCCTGAGGTAAGGTAGCAGGACCTGCCTGAGGTAAGGTGGCAGGACCGTAGGTACGGAGGCAGGCGCAAAGGTCCGTTCGCCATGACTGATTCGCGAACCCCTGGCCGAGGCCTCTGTTGAACTACCAAACTCTGTCTTCTGCTGCTGCTCCATGCATACCTGTAGTATGCTGGAAGACGCCGCGCGAAATGTGACCGTGGCATCATAAGACACGGTCAATAGCGTCCTACCCATTACTCACTGGAGGCACGGCAAGGCCGGCACCACAAAGCGAATCACGCCCGGCTATACGAGGCAGGCTCGCAGGCTGGCAGGCTCGCAGGCTGGCAATGGAAATACTCATGCACAAAACAGACTTTACGACACGGAGCATTCTCACGACCAAAAGGCATCACGCAGCAAGGTGGACAAGAAAGTGTGTAGCCTGCAACCTGACGGTGGCAG